ATATGTATAATATTTTTTACTATATTTTATTATTTAATATTTATAAAAATTAAGCCATGAACACATTGAAACCAACCGTTTATAGAGGTTATAACCTTATTTATTTTTATTTTAAGTAGTAAGTAAGTAAGGAAGGAAGGAAGGAAGGAAGGAAGGAAGGAAGGAAGGAAGGAAGGAAGGAAGGAAGGAAGGAAGGAAGGAAGGAAGGAAGGAAGGAAGGAAAGAAGGAAGGAAGGAAGAAGAATAATGATTAGAAGAATATATATATTTTGTATTTTATTTCTCGATCGAAACCATTTTTTAAAATATAATATTATTCATTTCTAAAAAAAAAATTAAAAACTATGATTGTAACGAATTAGATGTCGAATGCAACAGAGAACTCAAATATGGCCTCTCAAAAAATGATGGCATTAATTATAATAATGCATCGATAAAAAAACAAGTAGGAGTGATATGGATGGGCTTAGATAAAGTCCAAAGCCAACAGGTAACGTTAGTGAACGAGGATAATAAAATCTGTATTAAAGTATCCAATTGTAGTTATGATACTGAGGGATCATATAGAATCATAATTGACGATCACGTGATTTGTCAGATTCATCTGACTTATACACAAGGTATTTATTTTAAAAAATATAAAAATATAGTTTTCAGATAAGTTGACAAATTTACCTAAAATTATTAATATAACCGATTATATAGTAATGCTATGAAACTTACTTCTAAATATGAAAGCGTTACTCGTTACCTTGTGGAAAAAAGTAACGCGCGATACTTGCTATTCATAAAAAAGTAAAGTGTTACTAGCTACTTAAGGAATTGAATATTATATAGAACCCCCCCCCCCCCCTCCCCATATATATTATATCAGAATCAAGCCTGCATTTTATTTGTCAAAATCTTTTCTCAAATAGGGTTCCTTCCTCCGCTGCCATCTAATATTTAAGGGCCAATCTGATTTAAATACAGGGTGAATTATTGCTGAAAAATATATATTCAAACAAAAATAAAATATTATCACTATATAAACTGCGAAAAATATTTCACCTCGGTATATACCTTTTATCTTTGTCTTGCAAGAATTGCATTAATAACTAGTTTTATTTAAAAGCTATTTTTTACAATATTATAATAGTTATCTTAGGAAGTGAGATTTTCCGAATGAATTTTTTTCTTATCCTTAAAATCTAAGAGCAGCGGGAATAGGTTCCATGACCATATAAAATCACATATATAGTCAGACTATATTCATCTACGAACGACTTTTCATTATCTAAAAATCTGTGATTTGAATTTATCACAAGATTTCTCAAATTTGTGGTCATTCTCTCCTTAACAAGATTATTAATTCACGGAGTTATAGAAAGAGTTCCCACTTGTTATATTCAAAGATATCTCATTTTTTTTCGTTAAAACGGTTGTAGTTTGGAGGATGCCCATATTTATTCCACAATTGAGGTTTAAAGTATTTGAGTTTAGACACAATTTACACTGACAAAGTCGTAACACTGCACCCTTAGTTTTCTTCATTAGTGTAAGAAATGTTTTATATTGGAGCCAACATCTGCATCTGAAGAAAACGTACACATGACTTAAATATACTTTAGAAAATAAATTACTATATTAATAAGAATACTAAATTTATATACAATTGATTGATTCGATATTAATTAGATTATCACATTTTTCACTGAAAATTTAAACATAAAATTGAAGGATATTTTGTGTTTGATGTGTTAATTAAAAACTCGGCTTTAATTATTTATATAAAATTTCAAAAATAAAAAGTAAATGTTTTTGCAATATTTTTTAAGAAAGATTTGAAGTAACGAGTAACTTTTAGAATAAACGCGTTACCGTTACTTTTAGAAGAAGGTAACGAATAGGCGTTCCTTTTCTTCCAAAAATGTATGGCCGTTACTTTTGACGTTACTTTACAGCATTTACCTTTATATAACTTATATCTATACAAACGAAGACACGATTGTCGAATTAACGGAAGGCAAACCTGGTATCATTAAGATCAAATTTCCCTCACATTATGTAGAAGACCAAGTAATCCATTTTAAAAATAATATTGGTAAATTCTCGATTGATATCTCCAATAATGGTCATGTTGTATTAACATTTGACGTGGTTACAATGAATATGAAAGGGGAACACCAAGTAGGTGATGGCGATAGTTGGATAAATCTCAAAATATACGTGAAAAGTATATTTATTCAATGTTTATGACGTTCCCAATGACATATAATAATATATAGAACCGACGATTGCATTCATTGACATGGTGCACATCAATGAAAAACAGCTGAGGACACCATTTTTTGTTACCGATATCATTATTAAAAAATTTTAAACGGGAGGGCTAAATTAAATTCCTATGTCTAAAACGTAAACTTTATTAAAAGAATTGCCCTTATCACCGCGATGATAAGGAAAAACAAAGTTATCAATTTAATTGTTAGTTTTTTAAACATGAAGAATAATTAAAATATGGATTACCAAAAATGGCGGGTCCAGCTGATTTGTCATTCATCGACGCTTTCTAAGGCATTATTTACGAATTCATCGTCAGTCTAGATATTATATGTCATTGAGAATTTCTAATTAGTTTATATGTAAAATTGGCATCGGTATTTATAATTAATTATTCTTAAAAGTTCCTCTAAATAAATGATTTTTTAAAGTTCTGAATTTCTTATTATCATTTCCCGCTCCTTGAGTCATTATATTATTATCCGCAAAATATAGATTATTTTTTTTTAATTAAAATTATATCTTATTAAAATGTAATAATAAGTATTAAAAAATAATATTTAAATTAACTTTAATATATTTTGTTCAAATTCAATATGGCGGAATATAAATTTAAATGGTTTTCGTATATCTTTATAAATAATATTTCATGATTTTAAATTGTGTAAATACAAAGGGGAAATATCTATGTACTGTCACGATAATACTCTAGAAGATTGTAACCTGACAGTGAATACTGGATCTTTCCAAGATACTGAGAATCTGTTGATAGAAAAATCTGGCGATGTCGAAGAGATAAGTTGGACAAGTGCAGAGAACGCCACTATGATTCGTGTTTCCGTTCAGAAACGATATCGTTCTCCTCTAGGCATAACATTTGAAATCAACAATGATTATTCAAAAACACGTGTGCGATTAGTACCATTGGGTAAAATCAATATTTTGTATCATGCTAGATAATATGGATAGATGCACCCATGAGGGCCTTAACAGTTGGGCAGAAATCTCTAAAATGATAAATAAATTTTCATAAATCTAAAAAAATGGCTCTTATTTAACCAATCAAAATTAAAACAGAAATGATTTAGTACAAATATTTTGTTCATACTAATAATATACCCTTTAACCTAAAAAAAAATAAATAAATACGAAAATAAGAATTGAAAGTCAAAAATTTGGGGGAAGTAGTAAACATCTCGACATATGTCACTTATGACATTCAAGAAAAATCTCCAGTTTGGATTCACGAAAAAGGTGGAATGAAAAATGAAATAAATGGCTATTGGGTCGGCAATTTAGCAATGCTGGATGTACGAATCCTTGATGAATTAATTGGCAATTACTCTCTGAAAGAACAGCAACCTGAGGATAAATCATATCAATTGGCAATATGTAAAAAAAATAATAATAAATATGTCTCTTAGGGAATATTTAGGCTTCGATTTTTTTTATGGTGCACCAAGGAATAGCTCTTCAGAGATCAAAAATCTTTGAACATCTTGAACTCTGGCGAAAAATAAACAATTTTTTTTTATATGAGAAAATAGAGAAACATAAAATTATATTTTGTTGCATTTTATTTTTTATAGTCACGAGATTCGAAAAACAAGTAAAATATTGCGAGTCTCTCGTTTTTAATTGGTCAGCGGTTGCCGATTATTTGGCGCCTAACAACTATGACCCGCTACTTCAAGTGAAATCACCTGATACTGATGCCGAATTAATAAATCTTACGATCTATGGTGATGATTTTATTTTCGGCATAAAAAAATGTGTTCCTACTGGAGTATATAGAGTAATGATCGAAGATGTTCTTGTTGCAGAAATCAGCTTGGAAGTAAAGGGTTAGTTAAAAAATAATATATTTATATACTTTTTCCGTTTTTTTATGTCAGGATGGATTCATGGTGGGATTCAAATTAGGCACTAACTTAACAGCTGATGATATGATCGATTTTTCTTTATTAAAATCGAAATTTACTGATTATTTAATCATAAATAGAAATTAAAAATAACCAATCTCATATACAGATCCTAAAAAAATCGATCAGCTGTTTAATCGATCCCACTATGTATCCAGACTTAGACTAACTGCTTATATTCAGCATGTCTTTATCCACATCCGCTCCGGGGATTAACCTGGAATCTGATTCTTTTTTCGCACGACTTAATTCCAATGAATCGATATTTAGAATCGTGGTCAGCCTATTTCTATGTCTCACAGAACCGTTTTTCTTTAAATTGACGCACGCGCAAGATATATTTTATAAAAATTTGTGGAAACATATGATAGGACTCACAAGAAATAGGCCCCATACAACATGGAGTCTGGAACTAGAGCCCTGTATAGTTAGCCTGAAGTTATAGAAAAATATATTTTATTTTAACTACTTTTATTAAAATGTAAAGATCATTAGAACTTTCATGGCAATTAGGTCAAAGTAATTCTAGAATTTATTTCACCTATATTTTTAAAAAAATTCAATGAGCTTAGAATTTTTATCAATATTGAGCTGGCCAGTTACTAGATTCCAAAAATTAAACTAAAATTCTGGTTGGGAAAATAAGAATTCACAGCTTTATCTGATATTCTTAGTCGACATCTACAGTAGATATTTTCGACATTAAAAATTTATTTAAATTATTTAGGCTACATTGTGAATATTGAGGCCTCTTACAATAATGAAAAAGATGTCGAGTTTGACCTAGGCAAATTTAATATCAACGTTTCCATAGATCAGATTCTAGTTTACTATTTGAAAGATTATTCTCTGGATGAGAGTGTCAAAGTGAAAGCTGTTTTAAATGACAACAAATTGACAGTGGGTCTTAAAAATTTATGAAATCAACCAGGAATCTACCATGTATCTGTTCCTAGACTAGGACCAATATTCAGAATTAATGCTATCGCCATAAGTAAAAAAAATATATATACACGTTTAGAATTTACTATTTCATTTTGATTACAATGGGTCTGCTACAAAAATGCTAATTTTTTAATTAAAAAGTATACATATCTAAAGCATTTTTATTGACAATGTTTTAAATATTCTCAGAAAATTTTATAAAATATATAAACAATTTTTACTTTAAATCAGGCCTAGTCAAGAATGCTAGGACTGGTTTGCCGAAGGTGGCGAGTATGGTTAAAATGATAGGAATGAAACAATGCTAATTTATAATTTCTGCGCATTTGAAGATTCTAAGATGTACCTACTAGTCATTGCTGTTGAGAGCCTGCCTGGAAAGGGCCTTATATTTATTATTTTATTTTTTTTCTTCAAGTTTTCATTTTCTCGAAATTATAAATTCACATTTTATTTGAATTCAGGAAATTATCATCTAAAAGATGGACAATCCTTGCATATCAATTTGCCAAATTATTTCAAAGATGGCAAAAGAGATCTTAAAGTGAGTCCAGAATCTGTATTCAGTATTGATGTCTCGCCTATATTATACATTGAGATGGATTTAAAAGCAACCTTTACTCCAGAAATCAAGGGAAGATACCAAATATCATATAAAAATTTTAGACATACCATTAATCTATTCCATTTTTTAGGTATAATTATTTTAATATATTTAAATCTTCTCTTCTCTTCTCTTCTCTTCTCTTCTCTCTTCTTCTCTCTCTTCTTCTCTTCTCTTCTCTTCTCTTCTCTTCTCTTCTCTTCTCTCTTCTATTCATTTTATTTTATTTTCTTTCATTTCATTTCACTTTACTTTTCATTTATTAATCTGTTTTTGACATTCATCCATCTCACTAAAAAAAATTTAACCTTTCTATATGGATTTAAGGAAAATAGTGCTAAATAATCTAATTATTTATTTTTTTCCTACTTTTAAAAACAATTTACTACGCATCCACTAGGTATATCAAAATCAAACCAATTTATTTAATCATATTCGTAACCCACCTAATTATTTATAAAATGTTTATAATAATATGATAAAGGAACACAGAAATTAAACTTAGTAGAGGGCAAGGAATACAACAAAACCTTTATATTTAATGATGGAAAAGAAATAGAAGCATCAGGAACTGCGTGGTTCAAAGATGCTGGAATTCAATATATCGACCATAACTATGAAATCCAATATCTAGAACTTATTGTTCAGAGTAAGACTTTAATTATGATAAATAAAATGCAATATATTCAGTTCTAAGGAGTAGCCTGGGAGGGGACAAGGGAATATTCCACTCTTACAGAAATATGTAGCACTGTTAAACGGCTAGGTTTGAGGCGATTTTTATAAACGGCAACTCAGTATTCAGAAATATATTAAGCTAGCCTGAGGATTTCGTTCATGGCAGGCATAAAGGTATAGAACATATATCAGTGAAATTTTGAAGTCGAAGTTATAGCGATATTTTTCTAGCTAAAATATACTGAGTTTTAGTCGATTTCTAACTCGGCTCAAAACGGGCCAGCCGTTCAATAACAACACTACTGATATGCCACCTTTTGTTGTGAATATCATTTTAAACTTATAAAAAAAATTATATTCTTGCCTACCAAAAAAAAAATGCATGCATATATCTTAAAAAATGTTTTGAAAAAGAAAGAATGTAAAAGTTTAGTCTCAATGCTAGCTATATTTTTGGTCTAAGGAAAGCAAAACTGGAGGCCCCTAAGAAAATATTTTTATAATTTGTTTTTCTTTCAATTTATATCATATTAAAAAAATAAAATTTCTTATTGACAAAGCGGGGAAGTTCTTGCCCTGAGAATGTACTCTCTCTAGTAGTATGTCTTGTCGTCGGTAGTACGCTAGTAATATTTTAGAATGTGAGGTTCAGAACCGGGGTTCAGACCGTCTTAAATAACAAATTTAATGATGTAGCAATAACTGATTCAATTTTTATAATATAAGATCTCTTTTTATATTCAAAGGTAATTCAATTATGTATTATATATATATATATATCATATAAAATAACGTTTTCTATATCCAATTTACACAATATAAAGGTTTAATTTTAATATATCACACGATCGCCTATAAACCCTCATTATCTAAAATGAAAATGTATTATTAACACAATAAACAATAAATCGTTACAAATAATGTAACATTTCTCAATCACCCTCTGGTATCCTAGGAATATATAGCTTATCATAAACAGAGGCGATCTCGGATTTTCGCGGGCTATTTATTATATATTGATTCATCTATGCTTTATATTAGAATTTTTAGTTTAATACTAAATAGAGTATTATAGTGCTTTTGTTTTTTTTTAAAATAAAAAAAATAAAACTTAGAAACTTCGAAAATATTTTACGATCTTAACATTAAGCATCCGAATTTTCTGATAAAAGCAAATGGGATTGATGCCGGTAAATCACAGATAATTGCAAGGAATGGAAATAAGGATGAGCACGATTTCAGTACCACAAATGTAGATGGAAAATTATATTTAAAAGTTACACCGATGCTTAGAGATGCTATATCCATCGATATTAGATTTGGTGATTACAAGATATTGACCGTTCACCTAGCTCCTCAAAGTAAGTCAATAATAAATTTTATTTTTACCCATCTGTAAAATAATCTACATTAAATAAACACCATGCGTGTTAATTAATTGTATGTATAGTTTAAAATGCCTAAATGACGGTCAATTCGGTTCAATATAGGGCGTACTGGAGATAATCCGTTAACATAAAGATGTTTTAATTTATATATGAGCCGCTATATTTTTTAGCCCAAGACCCAAGTGATAGTTATCGGCTAAAACCTTGGTTTTAACCGATCTTTTAGCCTATCTCAAAAATCAGCTTAAACAGCTAAAGATATAGTAATTATTATCCAACTATAATTGTGTGTACCAGGGATCTTTATGAATAATCATTTCGAGATAATAAATAATTTGGAAGCAAATCCTGCTTACCCCGTTCCACAATTATTTTTAATTCTTACTCTTTTATATATATATATACGGTTAATTCCCCCCCCCCCCCCTCCAACCTCACACTCTTATCTATGTATACTGAATTATTAGGTGGTTATTGACGAAGAAACATTATAATAACAAAACTAATAAAATCATAAACTTGATATTTAGAAATTGTCATTCTAGAAAGCGAACGGGATTCGGCACTTTACTTAGAAGCCACATGTAATAGCTCAGAAATTGAATGGATCCTCCCTAACAAATCTAAGCGGAGTATAGATGAACCAATGAATCGTCTTATTATCAGAGCAAATGACGGATTTGATGGTTTGACAGTTGTCAATTGTAGGAACAGGCCAATCATGGCCTGGTTAGTAATTTCCTTGGGTAAAACCATTTTTTCTTACATTTCAAGCTAATTTAAACATATATTGGGAATTTATTATGTTGGATACTATTTAGTGGTTCACTAATTTTTTAATATGGCAAAACCTTATTTATCCCATTAAATTATAACTATTATTTGATCCTGAAGTTATTTAAAATACATTTCTTGTCTTGGCACCTTGATATACTACATTATAGTTTTTTTTTTGCATTTTATATCTTTGTTTCAATGAACTATTATTATTTAGGTATTACTTCCCTGAATACATTTCTCAGCAATAAAGGTTACTTTTTGTTTAATTCCCAGAAAACTATCTATTTTAGGGTTAATCTTTAACTATCAACTCTCAGTTTTATTTTTCTACTTTCGTCCATTTAGAATGAGTTTTTATTATTAAACCAAGAAATTGTGCTTTATATATTATATATATAAAGTCGTTGGAATGCGAAATTCATCTAAAACTTAAACAACCTTTAAAATTAACCAGGACATCTAACAAAAACACATTTCTAACTTGCATCCAATGCTAAGATTATTAGCAGGAGCACCCATACATTTTTTTGCCACGTTATAAACATATATATTTTTTATTTATTTGTATAAGGCTAATAAAAAAGTTTCGGTTATAGCCGAGAAACACTTAGATTAATGTGATGATGGCATCATAAATTTTAAATTTATTATTTAATATTTGTATTGAACTAAATAATAGCTTCATCTGAAAAATTAATTAATTAATTGTTTCTTAATCATATATATATATATATGTTTACTATATACTTTCACGAATGAACCATAATTGGGTATACCAATATATAAATAAAAGAAAGGAGAATTTAAACGATGAATTTGAATGTCATGTTTTAATTTTTTTTTCTTCTTCTTAGGAGTGAACATAATGCTCTTTTGACTATGCCCAATATGTGCGTCAATAATCATTAATAAAATAGTACAATTATCTGTTTCGTATATAGAATATGTTTCTCAAATAATTTTTCATATTTTAAAACAACATATTAAAAAAAATATGAAAATGTCAAGTTTTCACCCAAATAAGGCTATTTTAAATACATCTATACCTATTAATAATTTATTAAATTCATGACGCTACTCCCTATAGACTTTATGTCAAACTTCATAATAATAACATAATATGTCTCATAGTGGTATATTATCAAATGAGATATGAAACTGAATCTCAAATCAGTGCTGTTAAAAGGGCATTTTGAACCGATTTTTTAAAAAGGGCTAAATCAATATTTTAACTAGAAAGATACTGCCTAAGCCTCAAGATTTCGATAATATAATGTCTAGACATTTGTGTTCCTTCTATGAGCAAAATCTTCAGAATTGGATAACATTTTTCTAGATGTAGCATTGAGTTAGCCATTTTTAGGCTCAAAACAAGTCGTTTAACAACACTATCTCATAATAAATCTTTAACATTTAAATAAAAATTATGGTTTAGCATTCATCATAATCATTCATAAATATATTCAATTTAGACGCGTTCAAATTAACTTAGATATGTATAGTAATTGTTACCACTCCTTACATAGGATTGTAATTTATTTGTCGAAGCTAGTGGGAGAGACTTAATACAAATAAGGATCCTAGTATTAAATAAAATTAATATATAAATATTTAATAATTTCGGTTAATAATCTTATGAATGTTACAATTCCTTATATGACTTGTAATCAACTTGTCGAAGGTTGTAGTAGAAACAGTAACAACTCTAATTTTGATTTTATTTAAAATTTTTCCATTTTATATACATCTTTTTAATATGCAAAAATTACAAGTATAATTGAAAATTCATAAACATAATTAAAATTACCAGTCTATAAAAACAATAATTTCCTTGACTACATATTCAAATTAATAATTAACCTTCGTCGATTTATAATAAAAATTCATAAAAATTACAAGTATGTATTCAAATTAATAATTAGTGCACGAATACAACAGTAATTAATTAATTAATCAATCGATATCTATATTCTTTCTAACAATAAAAAATAATTAAAACAAGTATAATCATAATAAATATAATGATTAAAAATTACATATTTTAAGGGAGTAAAAAAAAATATACGTAAAATATAATTTCTTAACGAGATCATTTTTTTAGGAACATTTTCAAATAATTTCTAATATTTTAGAAAAAATATATTTTATATATAGCTTTTAATATTATTTTTACAGGGCTCGATTTGAACCGGTTTTTAAAAACCGATAACTCAGTACTTTCGCATGAAATGTAAAATATTGAGTTTACCGGTTTTAATAATCGGCTCGAATCGATCAGTTTAACATTTCTAAGTTTTAGTTTTACTAAAACATTGATATACCCTGAGATCTGAAATCTTTTTAATTAATATTGCTTCTCTTTATGTTTTTAATTTTTTTAAACTAAAATTATAATAGTATATAGATGGTTTTAAAATACTAAGCTATTAATAAGTTTTAGAAAGTAGTTCTATTTAAATTAGTGAAATTTTAAAGCTTAAATCAAATGTATTTAACTCTTAAAATTATTGATTTTAAAAAAGGGGATTTTAGTTAGTTCTATTTCGTATGATTAAAATATTTCAAGATGATCGAAATATACTATCATTTTCTAATAACTAAACATTATAATATGAAATATCTTGAGAATCTTGTCTCTGTTCTTTAATGTAAGAATTGTCATAAAAAAATTTTGCGTCACATTTAGTAATTAATGAGCAATATACTATCATTAAACCATCTAAGTCCATCTAAGTCAGTGTCTCTTGCTTAGGAGCAAATTTGTTGGTAATATATTTTAATAAAATCTTATTGGTTTTCTTTAGGTCTTCAACTAAGCTAAATTAACTCTATTTCCCCTCTTAACACAAATATGATTCATATATTATATATAAAGTTTAAATTATTAGTTTTTGTAGCTCTTGTTAAATATCGTTTCGTCTTTTATAAAAGTGCTCACTTTGATATTATACAAGTTTGTCCCAACAATTTCTATCTTTTAGACTTTTTATAATATCAAATGAAAAACTGAATCCTATCTTCCATATAAATAATACAACTATATTCAATTACAATACTTTTCCTGAAAGTATACATTGTTTTCTACAATTAATTTAAATGCAAAAAAAAACATTTTAAAACGAATTAAACGTTAAATATATTAATAAATATATAATATAAAATAAAAATAATAATAATTAAATTAAAATATTAATTAGAATAATTGTAATAGAATCTTCTAAATAATGTTATTTTTGAGCTAAGCCTTATATCTTATGATGATAGTCCAGTTATGCGTAGTTCATTGCTATACACGATAATATAGCTGTATAGCAACCGAGACTTGTGCTATTTTCGTGGTTAATGAAAACAGTAAATTTAAAAATAACATAATTTGCCCACTTAACAATAATATTTTATTAAAGTTGTAATAAGCATAAATAATAAATAATAAATAATTAATTTTATATTTTATTCAAGGGACGGAAAATCTAACGTTGAACATGACAACCAAGACAGCAGTATTAACAAATGCTAAAAGATTCCTAACACAAGCCAAGTGCTTATCTTAAGTCTTTAAGGATTGAAATGGAGAATACAAAAATAGAAGCTAAAGATGGTTTCAACTGTGATACGGATACTCTAGAATTGGTATTCAAAAGTTTCACGTTAGATTTGTTTAAGAAATCTCCCTCGTTTCCGCTAAATATTGAAGGCCGTCATGTAGTGGACATTCGCTTTATTTAAATATTAACGACTTTCGGATAAACCATACTTTACTTGATTGTTATAATAATATCATAATAATTTGCAAATATAGGAACTTTATGGGTTTAAATTGAAATCATAAAATTTTGGGGAATTTTGATAAACATGAAATATTGTTTTAAATAAATAAAAAATATTTCAAGTATTATAATATAGGAATCGTTTTTCATATAATTCACTCCTTAAAGTTCTAAGTAGAGCTAATAATATAAGACTCTAATAAACATGTTAAGATATAGTAAACACGTCATATAATATAGGTATAATACCTTGAAGGGTTTTGATTTCAGATTATGGTAATCTAGAATATTCTTAACTTTCTCTTACTATTTTCTAACAGAAAAAAATTATTTTGAGACATAAAAACTATCTATTATATGTGTAGTAGCAAAATTCTCAAGAAAGGACTGAAAAGTTTCACTTGACCTGATGGAATCTTATATGTT